TTGTCCAATTCCAATTCCAAAATTTGAATTCCGTGTACCAGACGGAGCCTTAATGATTGATATGAGGAAGTCCATTTCTTTTTAAATGGAGTGGACCCTTTTAACAATGATGAACGCATTGTGTTATTATCCATCAGGGCTATGGGATTCCCTCCAGAGTTCTTCACTGTTCTTTTCGCTATTCCTCGGATGGCTGGCTATTTATCTCACTGGCGAGAATCCTTGGACGACCCCGACACAAAGATTATGAGACCTGCGCAGGTTAGTGTGTTGATATATACAGTATTATGGAGTAGTTTATACTCCATCCCTCTAGAGTTTAGAGGCTTTTAGAGCTTCCCTTCCGAAACTACCCCCCACCCCCCAAAAAAATGACCCGATAAAGTTAATATACTCTGTTTTTATTTTCTTGAATCATATATAATACCATTGAGTACTTGAAGTCTGATATTGATGCTACATCTCATAATCCCCCATTCAGGTGTACACAGGTGTTTGGTTGCGGCATTACATGCCACCTAGAGAACGAACTCCATTGAGTGAGGCAGCCGATAAACTAGGCCAAGTCTCCATTTCAAATGCTACCCGGCGTCGCTTGGCTGGATCTGGTTCTGGTGCCTAGAAATTATCATTCACCTTCTACAAAGGGAAAAATGTTATCATTCACTGACAATAATTAGGTTGTTTGTTTGGCTATATCCACACCTTTTATACACAAGTTTACCCATAATATTTAAAAAATTGAAAGAAATAAGTGAAAGGGTAAAGTTGTCCATTTCTTAGGAATGGAGTGATTTAGTCAAATAGGGTGTGGATTTAGCACTATAATAATAATGGCAAAACTATTCTTCTCTATACAGCGGTGGATTTATGGCTTTTGTGCCGAGCCAAGGCGGATGGATTTGGTCTGGTCTTACTTTATAACTGTAATTAGTAATTACTGAAAATGTACTCCGTACTATGCAAAGGCATGTCCAATTCCATGGCCTTTGTATTTTGTCCTACCCCATCCAAGTGGCCTTTGTATTTTGTCCTTTGTATTTTGTCCTACCCCATCCAAATAATAAATATAATGGTGGTCAAGCAATAAATTCAATTTTTATATTCGTTTAAGAAAACAAGACTAAATTGAAATTTTTTTTAAAACTTTGTACAAGCAATAGATAATTTAAATTAGAAAGACAGGAAACAAATAATTTTTAAATTGGAATGAAGAGAGTAATCAAACCCGCCTGCGAAAGCCTGCCTGTAAAATAGTGGGCTTGGCAATTTAGCGTACGGGTCACGTTTAGGCTTTATAAACGATAACCCGTGTGCTTTAGGGTCTGGTTCAGGGTTTTGCTCAAGCCCACAGCCCCGTCCAAATGAATAATATTACTACTTCCGTCTTTGAGCATTTCTCCATTAACATTTTTCACTCAACTATTTTTATTTTTTGATTTATAATTAATAAAATATAAATTATATATTAATTAGATAAAATAATATTTTAAAAATACTTCATATAATAAATGTATTTAAATTATTTTTGTATCAATGTCTAATATTATTTTTATTTAATTTGATGTCAAAGTTTACCAATTTTGATTGAAAAAATTAAAAATTGACAAATACTTAGACTAAGGGAGCATTTACTATTATTATAGTTATAATAAAATAATAATAACATTAACATTAACAATAAACAAATAACAATGCTATTTCAAATTATTATAAACACATACATAATTCTATGGAGAAAAACAGAGAATAGTAAGTATATTTAATAAAATGAGTACATCTTAATTACTCTGTATTGTTTATTTTCTATCACACAATGATAATGATATTAAATAAATAGTAGTGTATAGTAACATTATCACATCAAATAACTAATATACTTTATTTAAAAAATTTTTTTTTAATTATTTTTAAATTATTGTTCATGCGGACCGGGTCGGTCCATAGACCGCAGTTACCCATAAAGGCCGGGCTTGAGCTTCCATTGTTAGGTTCCCTATATAGGACGAGATGAGTTCGGACTTAGAAAAGTTTCGTAATGTGCCATCTCAGCTCTGCTTGAAACTCGGTTCAACCTCTACTTTAATCAGATCTAGTAGGTTCACATTTTGAGTATGTCAAAATTCTCGCTCAGTCCATTCATTTTACAATTTTTTTTCCTTTGCTTGTTGCTCGTAACTAACTCTATTAGAGAACCGTGTTCACAAGACTCACCCTTTTTCATGTGCCTCGCTTCCTCTTTTCTTCTACTTTCTTCTTTCAAATCTTCCATTTATTATTCAAAATCTAAACTGTTCAAAGGATATTTATATAGTTTTAGATTTCTATTTCTAGAGTTCTAAAACTTTCCTCATTAGTAGCCAGGGCCGGCCCAAGGGTGGGCCGAGCAGGCCAACCGGACCGGGCCCAATGTTATAAGGGGCACAATCCTTTATATATTATATTTGAGAGTTTAACTCCTATAATTTTGACATTTGTCATGCTGACGGGGATTTTTTTTGACACTTCATAAGCCATGTCATTATATTGGACTTACTCAATATTTTAAACGGGTTGGATAATGATTCATTACTTTGGTACCAAGAATAGATAACTTTCCCTTTTCTTAAAAAATCATAATTGTTTTTGGGATGATTGGACTTCTTTCCTTCTTATGATGATTAGTCTTTGCGAAATTTTTTCTTCTTTCGAATTTTCCCGTTCAAATCTCTGGATTTTCTACCCTTATTGCTGTAAGTTTCCTTCTTGCGATTTATATTAGGTCATATATAAATCAAATTTTAAGTAAGTCATTTCATCAATCTATTTTTTCATTGTAAGCCGCGTTCATACCTAAAACCTCTGATTAATTGACATGTCTTCAGAACCGATCCACCCTTTGTTGAAGATCAATCCATCAAGTGAATGCTGGAGAGCTTTGGTTCGTGTGATTTGACTGTACAAGATGCCAGTGTATAATGATGAGAAGATGACGAATTCAATTGAGATGATATTCATGTACGAACATGTAAGAATTGTACTCTTATTCGTATTTTGCATACAATATAAAATTTATGTTTAATAGGATTTCTTATAATTTTTTAGAGGCTGGAAGGTTGTTTTGCTTTTACTTTCAAAACACAATTATACTAATCTGTATAAAAAATCAAAATTCTTCAGTTGCCCATATTGAATAAATAAATGAAGAATGATAAGCCTGTTATTCTTAAAGTATAATGAGTCTGCTTTCCTTGAAGCTTTCATTTTCAGCAACATAAAAAATAAATTTTTTTTATTAAAGTACTGAAGAGTTGAGCCTGTCCTTATATTCAGATTTATAGTCTGCTGTTTTTGAACATATTTTATGGTGTGGAGTTTAGTTTTTAGTCTTTTGAAGTTTCTCCAAATTCAAAGTATTGAAAAAACAAAACATACTATAGTCTGTTCTGATTCTAAGTATTAAAAAACAAAACACACTATAGTCTGTTTAGTTTTTTTAGTGCCTATTCATGTTGAAGGTTCTCCAGTGCCTAAAACCATGAGACTAAATTTTTTTTAATAGTGCGTAAGAAGAAATTCTTATAATTTATGTAATAATAACTCTGTCGTTCTTAAAGTGTAATAAGTCTGCTGTCCTTGAATCTTCTATTTTCAGCACCATAAAAACATATTTTTTTATTAAAGTATTGACGACTTGAGTCTGTCCTTATTTTTCAGACCTTAATTTCAGATTTATAGCCTCCTGTTTTTTTAACATATTTTATGGTGTGGAGTTTAATTTTTATAGTCTCTTGAAGTTTCTCCAGTCCTTAAGTATTGAAAAAACAAATCACACCATAGTCTGTTTACTTTTTATAACTAATACCTGAAAGAGCAATGCTACGTTCACAAACAGAATGATCACAAACTCCACAAACTTACTATTTATGATTTAAATTCTCAATTTAAAATTATTTTAAACCATTTAAATTTTTTTTATCAAAGTTTACAAATAGTAAATTTGTGATTTTTGTGATGTTTGTTTTTGTGAACCAAGCATTTCCCTACCTGAAATGATAAGAAATATAAATACAAATAATCACCCAAATCAATATCAACACACAGAATAAGAAATTCAAGAGTCATTGATGTGTAGATTGACGGTCTGCTCTGTAATTTTAAGGCCAACAAATCTCCTATGGATTGTGTAATGGTACAAGATTAATTGTCAACGAGATGCGAAAGAATGTTATTGGTGCTATTGTGGTTTCGAGAAATCGAGTGGGCAAAAAAGTTTACATACCCCGGATGAATTTGGTTCCGTCTGATCCAGGACTACCTCTAAAGTTCCAGAGAAGATAATTTCCAATAGTATTATGTTTTGCTATGACTATTAACAAAAGTCAAGGTCAAACATTGTCATTTGTTGGCTTATTTTTAACCAAGTCAGTGTTCACTCATGATCAGCTTTATGTTGCTGTTTCGCAAGTGAAGACAAAGACAAGATTAAAAATATTAGTCTTAGATGACAATGGAAATCCTTGCAGCCATACAAAAAATGTTGTATACCCTGAAATCTTTCAAAAAATTTGGTATTAAAGCAAACTTTGTTGTGTGTAGATTCAATTCCTCAAATATTATTCTTTTTACTTTGCCTTTCTTTTCTGTGTTATTATAAATCATGCATGAGGTATATTTTCTTTATTCCGGAAAAAAATATTGCATTGAATAAATTCAGAATCGGCAAGATATTCGTCCGAACCCGTGCATTGCACGGGTAGGAATACTAGTTTTTTCATATTTTGCATAATATATATACAAATTTCGTACTACTCTTATATAAAAAATAGAATACCCAAATTGGGTGGAGTGAGGTTCGAACCTGGGCAGATAAGGTTATATAAAAAATAGAATACCCAAATTGGGTGGAGTGAGGTTCGAACCTGGGCAGATAAGGTGTAATGAGATGCACCATCCACTTGAGCTACCAAGTATGTTCTTGCACAATTGATTATAACTAAACTTCCAATTAATTAGAAAAAGAAACACAAGTAGTATCTAATATATTTGTTTAGTAAACTTATAAAACAAGTTTTAAAAATAAATAAACAAACTTATTTATGTTTTATTTTAGATTAATATGAATACTTATACCTAAAAAGTATTTTTTTCAAAAAAAAAAAACTAAAATTTTATCATCAATAAAAATTAAGAATATTTAGTAATTATACCTTAGTATATTAAAATAATTATTTTCTTCTTATTTTTCTCATTCCAATGAACTACATTTAAATGTAAATAGCTACATACACATTGCAGAATATTATATAAAAATACATTACCTAGTCTTTACTTTTTTTTAAAAATATGACTATTACCTTACTATTTTAGTTTTATTAGATACTCATTAACTATATTTGATAGTAATAAAAAATAATACTAATAGTAAATTGAAAAACTATGACGACATATGTAAAATGATATTGAATATTAAATAGAAGAGTGAAAAAACAAAAATATAATATCTAATACTATAATATAAATTATTATTCTTTTAATTATAGTTAACCGAACCATTGACCCTCGAATTGACCGGTTAAATCTTGACATACTAGCTCGCCCGATTCGATGTCTGATCCAATTTTCAAGATATTGATTTGGGAAAGTAAGTATAAATAAACCTTTTGCTATAATTTTGTATGCGATTTATTTGTTTTGTTACATAGTATTATACTATTATGTTAATGTTTATTTAAATATGATTAGTTTATACACTTTAATACGTTAAGATATTAGGAATAAGACCTTTAAGGCCTCTTTTTCTGTCTCGGCCCAGGCCTTTGAGTTCTCGGGGACGGCCCTGTTAGTAGCCATAGGTTAGGGAATATAGAGGAACTTCTTTGTCTCTTTATTTTTCCTGGCTCTCTTGTATTTAATCCCTCTCTTGTTTTGCAATTGTGTATCAACTTCATAAATCTTCGCCATCAAATTTTCCCTAGCTCTCTTGTATTTAATCCCTCAATGGTATCAAAGCATGATTAACTTACAAAAAAACCTCTTAGTCATCAACATGTCCCCTGGAGGAGATGCCAATGGAAAAAGAAAGAGGGGAAGTCCATTGACTCGAACTCACCATTCTACATTCGTCCATTGAAATACCCTAAGTAAATGCA